GTAAATTTACACCAACACTACCATCAATTTACATCAGTTTACGTAAATTTACAGATAAATGGTAGTGTTGCAGTAAATTTATGTAAATTGATGTAAATTGACAACTGCACCACCGTCGAACCCGTAAATTGACAATTACACTATCATCACCGTATATATTTACAGGGTCCCGTAGTGTTAGTGTCGATCGCGTTTGTATATGTAAATTTACGCGTTTTATGATGTGCCCTGGTCAGTGTGCAACGTGCAGCCGTGCTGTGTTCCCTTCTTTTCTTTATTGATTTGGGCTCAGCCGAGCCAATTGGCCCTTTAAATACAACAGCTGCATTTGAAAAAACAAACAAAAAAAGCTTCAGATCTCGATGAGTGCACAGCCTGCCAACCTCATGGACCCCCTTGTTGCAAGTGGCTCCCAATGCTATTCAGTAATGTTAAAGCTTGCCAATCATGGGCCTGGTCCGCATTTACCACTGGGGACAACGACAGAGGCAAGAGTGGCTGAGGTAGCCTGGCTTGCCCCTGTGGCCTGTGCAGTTGAACTGGCAGAGTTTGTCAAAAGTGGGAGAGCAATGGCCAAAAGGTGGAAATATAAATAAATATCAAGTGTATATATGAATCTAAATATGAAACTGCCGATTACTGACTGGAAAAACAAATCCGTTTTCAGCTTGGGTAGTGTCACTTTCAGAATCAGGAACCATTCTTCAACCCCTACATGCCAAACAACCATAACACGAAGTCAGGGATTTTTTTTTGTAAGTCTTTCTGTCAGTGGACATGACCTTATAGATGGTGAGAGACAGATTAATTGAACCAGCGACTGCGCCTGTATATACTAAATATATCCTTAAACCTTGATAGGGGCTCTTATTTCGATTCATTAAAAAGAACCAGGAGCACCAGCAAGTTTGAGAAGGCAAAGTCTTTTCCGAAAGAAAACGATGAACAAACATTTCGCTTTACCAGCTTACCAGCCAACAACACAAAGCACTATTTTAGCAAAACTAAGGAAGCACTGGCCAAAAGTGTCCTCGTCCAGGATCGAACTGGAGACCTTTCGCGTGTGAGGCGAACGTGATAACCGCTACACCACGAGGACATGGGTTTTGAGCAAATTCCGACTACGTAACTCTATGCTATTTAGAGTTGGGACTGTGGCAATAAAAAGTAATGGACTTATGGTGGACGGAGTTCAAGAATGCAAGCCGCAGTGTTAAAAGTGATGCCTGAGCTTTGAACCAACACACCAGCCACAAACGCGTGACCAGGCTCTCTCCTCCACTTTTGAACACAAGTGCAATGTAAACTAAATCGAAAGGTCAAAAATTCAGTTCCAAAGTAAATCGACTTTTTTTTTTCATGGATTCTGGTTTGGAGAAGCAAATATAATAGGTCTCCTGGCACTCTTTATATTTTCCTGGTCACTTCTCAATGTCTCCATCACTCCTCAACACCCTTCAGCAGCTCCTGGTCACTTGGGTTGGGCTTGGCAATTGCCTGAAGCTTCACCAAGAGACATGCACAGTTGTTCTTAGTCACACCATGGGTGTGACTTGTGCTTTAATGCGAGCTTGTGGGCAAGTGCAGCACTGCATCCAGGCAAGAGATAAATCAAAGCAAATCAATCAGCCTTCCAGAAGTCTTGACACACAGTGGCTGCTGACACGCTTGCATTGGCCATTGGCAACACAATGTGGAGCCCAGCCAGGCTGTACTGGCAGTGCTTCCAGGTGTACGCCTTGACAGCTGACCAGATGCACTTTATTGCTAGGAAAAAGAAGGTCAGTTGCACAATAAATACACAAATAAATGATGTGCAATGCACGCGTACGATTGAGCTCTGGGTGGAACTTAGGCAGCAGGAGCATCTCGTGTCCAGCCACTTTCAGATCCTCTGTAACATCATAAAACGCATCAATTGTACATTTACATGAAACTTTGTAAATTTCCATAAATTAGTGCGATTGACACTAACACTACAAGACCACGTAAATATATAAGGTGATGACAGAGTCATTGTCAGGTTACCAGTTTTTAGTGGAGTTTTCATAAGAATTCATGTAATTCACGTAAATTTATGACAACACTATCATAAATCTGTAAATTTATGCCAATTCATATAAATTGATGGAAACTGATGGTGATATGCGTAAATCGATGTAAATTTACGAAAATTGATGGTGGTGCTGGTGTCAATTTCCATCAATTTACACTACCCTACTGTATATTTGGATAAACGATCTGCCACGGTTTATAGTGTACAGTTAGAGTGTATCAACAACCATCTGTTTCTTTACGACCGCAATGAGCCTGAGTAATGTTGCATAAAAGTTGCTCAATAGTGCTAACATGGGCAAGCCTCATAAAACGTGGCAAACTGTTTGTCCATCAATTGATGGTGGTGGAATTGTCAATTAATTGCAATTGAAACTTGCTACTGTGGATTAACAGTTACAAACACATTTATGGTGAGCTTTCCTGATCCTGTGGTGGACTGGTCTGGCAGGCATGAATCAATTTGAGGTTGGCAATGCCCTTGAGGTGATGAAGGACAAGGGTCTGAGCCAGCACAGTGTGTCCAGATAGAATATTCAAAAGTAGCTTGGTAGGATGGGCTGGTCTGCTGTTTTTTTTT